TATTTTTGTTAGCGAGCAATACAACAACAACAAGTATTCGTTATTGTTTTTCCCTTCCACCATCACCATATGCCCGCCCGTCCGTCCGACTTGTGCCATAACACTCATCGTCGTCAGGCACTAAACTTAACTCGTAAAGCCGTCACCAGCAACATTACCATCATCAACATCATCATCATTGCCCACGTCGTCATTCTTTTTTCTATGGCTTCGCAGGAGCAGAAGCAACATGAACGTCATTGCTACCCCACCAACCGAACAACAACACAACATTGCCGTTGTCACAGCCTCTCTGATGCTACTGCTGATGATGATGATGTGTGGCAATGTTCCTCGCTTTTGTAAATAAAAAAGAACACGGATGGGTTGCATTGTACCGCGAAGTGTATTCAATGGAATTTTGTAGGCCATAGAGTTCTTTGGAATTCACAGGCCATTTAAGGGTAGATGTAACAAAGACAAGGTACTTGGGAGGTTAGCGAATCGGCAATGAGCTACAAAAATGTATGAAATTTATGTTTCCCGAGAGATAAGAGTTATTTAAGCCAAATTATAACTGAATTTCGATTTTTATAAAAAAAACTAGTAAAAAAAAGCAGCTACTAATACCCTCCACAATTTTGAAGGATTTTGAAATTAAAAAAAAAAAAAAACGTCGAAAAATATCACAAAAATGAAAACTGTTCTATGGGGGCTATACATAATGTGGACCCATAACGACATTCATCTTTCAAGAGGTAAAATACTTGGCAGGAACTCCTTGTGTGGATTTTGAGATAATTCCATTGGAAAAAGTTGCTAAAGTCATCAAAATACCGAATATCAGGGGTTACAGTTGTATGGGATATTCTGGATATCCTGGTCTTCTATGGAGAAAAGAAGAGCTCCTGGTCCTCTACAGACGAAAAAAGAGCTCCTGGATCTCCTGGTCTTCTATGGACTATAGAAGAGCTTCTTGTCTTCTGTGGACGATAGAAGAGCTCCTGGTCTTCTATAAACGATCCCATGGCCGATAGAATAGAGGTCCAGCTTTCTTCTATAGACGATGGAAGAAAGCTCCACCTGTCTCCTATGGACGATAGAAGAGAGGTCCCATCAATCTTCTATGGACGATAGAAGAGAGCTCCAGCTCACTCCTTTGGACGATAGAGAGATCTATCTCTTCTATGGACGATAGAAAAGAGCGCTATCTTTTCTATGGACGATAGAAGAGAGCGCTATATCTTCTATGGACCATAGAAGAGAACGCTATCTCTTGTACGGACAATTGAAGAGAGCACCAACTGTTCTATGGACGATATAAGAGAGCACCGACTGTTTTATGGACGATATAAGAGAGCACCAACTGATCTATAGATAATATAAGAGAGCACCATCTCTTCTATGGATAATAGAAGAGAGCACAATAAAAGAAGGCCCCATCTCTTCTTTGGACAATAGAAGAGAGTTCACGATATCTTGAACCTATATAGACAATGCTCTTCCAGGTGGCAAAGTACTTAGAAGCAACTTCTTGTGTGGAATTTCAATCAATTCCATTGAAAAATATGGCTTCAATCATCAAAGCATCGAATATCGGTGGGTACCGTTGTGTGGGGGCTATACGACGTCGTGGACCTATATAGACAATTCTCTGTGAGTGGCTAAAATATTCACAAAGAATTCCATGTGTAGAATTGTACACAAATCCATTGAAAAATGTTGCTAAAAACATCAAAATACCGAATATCGAGGGTACCGTTATATGGGGGTTATACGATATCGTGGACCGATATAGCCCGTCTTCGAACTTGACCTGCCAGCAGAGAATAGACTGATCTGTGCACAATTTTAGCTTCCTGTCTTAATTCGTTTTCGACCCTAGCGTAACTTTGTTTTCTTGTCGTTAGAGGCAAGGTCAGCTCCCAGGATCTCCATAAAGACCCACTCAATCTTAAGAAATAAGAAGAGGAAACTTCTCCCTTTCCTGGGGGAATTAAGCTGATGTTTTAATGATTTAAATACTAGAATCTACTCGTAATCAAATACGAGAAGGTAAATATGAATCATAGTATAGCGATTTGTCTTCGAGGGTGCTCGGGAGTTGTTAAGACTTGAGGACAAACGGTGTCAGGTGTCAGATAATCAGGGTTTAGGGTAATTTAGGTAATTGGGATGTTGATGTCCAGGTCATCTGAGACGGATTGGGGACTCGTGGTATAATCGTTCGGGGACGGCATTCACTGTAGAGATACTCAGAATAAGATCGCCAAGTCGCCTTAGGTTTTTCGGCTTCGACAGCTCATGGTAGGTATGTTCAGAAGCAGCTGTCCAGGCCTTCTAAGTGCTCGCCAGCTCACTGTGAGTATGTTCGAGAGCAGAGGTCCAGGTCACCTTAGATGTATAGATAATCGAGGTTTAGGATGTAGATGGTTGAGATTTTGATGTCCAGGTTATCAGAGACGGGTTGGAGACTGATGGTATAATCGTTCGGGGACGGCAAGTAACTGCAGAGATACTTGGGGAAGATATCCTGGTCGTCATAAGTTATTAAGTTTCACCGACTCATGGTAGGTATGTTCGAGAACAGATATTCAGACCTTCTGAGATGGATCGAAACTCATTCTTATCCGGGAGCTTATTGGGGGTATGTTCGTTTTTAGCTGTTTGTGTCGTCCGCAAGGGCTAGGAAACTAGTCTAGTTAGCACCAAGGTTTATGGCTACCTCTAATTAACTATCAATGTTTGAGCTATATTTGGTGCAACGAGCCAAAGCTCATTCGGAATAATGAACTGAAGCTCATGCGAAAAATGAGCCGAAACGCCTGTGTGACAACGAGCTGAAGCTCCTGCAGAACAACGAGCCGTAGACCCTGTATGAAAGACCGGCCACTCAACTTAAGGTAAGACAGTTCAAAATGTACTCCCAGCTAACGATTCTGTTGGTCGGAGGACAGGAAATTATTCACAAACTCACTAACTACCCTTTGACAAGCCCTCTGAAGTAGCAAGTCTGTCTCATCGTAACCCAAAACAAGTTAATGTGAATTATTTGCCTTATGCGTTAAATTACGTATTGTCGAGAGCTTTTCGATATGTTCCACCTTAACTTCCCGAGTCCAGTCAATCACAACTGATGATTGGTAACACGGGCATACCCCAGCAAGTTTCTTCTGTGAAGACCATGGGTTATTGATGACTGAATGTAGTTTTAGTAACAAGTAAAAAGCACCTATGTTCGGCCGAACTTTTAATAGCCTCCACCATTTGGAAGGAACTTTAAAAACTTAAACAAAAACTCGCCGTAAAATGATATTTGAATGAAACCCGTTATATGCTGGCATACACAATTTTCTGTCATAGTACCCAATAGGATCTTGAACTACGAAATTTAAAACAATTCCGTTGAATAATGTCGCAAATATCTTCAAGTACCAAAATAAGAGAGAAATTTTCTCTCATAGGTTAAAGTATTGTTTACGAACTTCAAATACAAATTTTGAAACAAATCCGGTTTATTTTGTCGCTAAAATCATCAAAATACCGAATATTGAGAGGTACTGTTATAAGAGTGTTATGCGAAAACGGGAACAGACATGCCCTGCCTACTGGCAAAATACACATGAGTGCAAATTTTTAGACTTCTTTCTCAATCAATTTTGGACACTAATTCCGCAAATTCATTGCTCCCTGAGTTTTCAAAAACCATAAGCCAAAAAGAGGTTCTAAATCTGATACCATAGACATTCAATACTACATCCTTTTACCACCTTCTAAAGTCCTTAAATTATGGTCCATGAGATGTACCGCCACCTCCAATCCTTGAAATATATACATCCATCCAAACAACCACCAGTACCACCATTAACACACATGAACGCCATTGCTGTTGCTATTTTCTGTGTTTTTGTTGTTCACTCTATGAAGTAGCAGCAGCTTTTTGTGTTCGCTTTTATTTACAGAAATCGTTTAACAAATATTTTTTTCATTACACACACATAACCTTGGAACATAACACCAGTGTTGCCACCATCACCACCACCTACCGATTCCAGCGGCGAAGCGACGCAAAATGAACCATCCCACCACAACTGAGGCAGACAGCAAAAAACATTCAGCCATAATAGACATGGGCTGAAAGTAAAATCCAACTCTAGGCCGGCGGGTGGTCCGAAAGGGAACACCGACATGATGCTAGGAGAGGTGAGGGGTGGATGTTAAAAAAACGTCCCATTTCCAACCTAAAAATGTGCTACCTTAACTAGATGATACTCGTTGTTTCACTTACTCCACTGCCTACAAAAATTCCTAAAACACAAAACCTCGCTACTGGGTTGTTGGGGAGCTGGAATGGCGTAACAAATGAATAGCTGGTATTTTAACCTGTTATGGCTGTTGATGATGGTACTTTACGTTTTTCGTGGTGGCAACGCCAGTGATGACGACGACAATGATGATGATGAGAATGGCGGCAATATTTGTCGGATATTATGAAGTGCTAAAAGTGATATTAGTGCTGCAGTCGTTTTACATTGACCTGGCCAGAAGCCACCCTCCTTAAATCAAAACAACTATTCAAACGTGTTTAAAGTGCGTTTTATGATGACCAACAAAATCACGATTTTGGGGTGATGCGTTGACGTCTTCGAAATGCAAGCAGAAGCAGTCACACTATGTAACTATGCCGCATAAGCAGGGCCCCCTCTTTGGTGCAGAGAATAGTTGCGAAATGCAATTGCCGTTGCTTCCAACCGCTATTGACGTCATTCATTGGTTATGGTAGCATCCGAATATTTGCACAGCATTTAGTATTGAATAAATACCAAAAAGAGAGAGACAATCACACACACACACATAGATGCGGAATGGAAAAGGGTGTTATTCAGTCATTGATTTGAAACGAAGGAAAATATAATTTTGAGCAAAATTTAAATAGTTTTGGAAAAGTTATGGAATTTTTTACACGTAGGAATGGATAGTCTTTAAATGTCACAAGAATATTTTGAGGGGGAACAACTTACCTTGAAGGCCTCACACTCCACCGGCTGTTGATTTTCATACGAAGTTGGTCTCCAAAATTCTTGCCGAATTCTGAAAAGAAATAATAAATATCTGGTATAGAACTCAGCATAAACAGGGAAAGAACTAGAAAATATTTCGGAAGAGAAGAATAAAAAAACAGGTAACATATTATCAGTCGGATTTACCAATAGATGTATACAGCCTTGCCTAACCATTATTCAAACTGTTGACTCTTTATGGGTGAGGTTCCGAAACAGTTGGCCAATATTAGTATTTTATCTGACCAATTCGAGTCTGACCTAATAATGATATAAATATTAAAACGTGACAGATAAAAGTATTGTGACCCTTTGTGGCTCATCATCTTCACAACAGATCTTGTGTTAGCAAACATGTTTGTATGTGTGAGATTTGAAGAGAATTGGATGCTTATTTCGCTTTCTTTGAACGATTTGTTTTTTAAAATCGTGAACCCTATGTAGGGGAGGTATCAGAACAAATGGTGCGATATCTGCCATCTTCATAACAGATCCTGTGTTGATGAAAATATTGAGGTGTGCAAAGTCTGAATAAAATCGAATGTTAATTTTCCGTTTTATGAGCTTCATGGATACTCAAAATTTTGGCACTTTATGGGGGAGGTACCAGAAGGAGTGAACCGATATATCCCATCTTCACACCAGACCATTGTCTATCAAAAATATTGTGCTGTGTGTAATTTGAAGGGAACCGGATGATTTTATAATCAATTCAAAACGTTGACCCTTTGGGGGGAGGTACCAGAAGGAATGGTCCGATCTCTACCAACTTTATAACAGATTTTGTGTTGATGGAAGAATTGAAATGTGCCAAGTCTGAATGGAATCAGATATAAATTTTCGCGTTTTATGAGCTTCGTGAATATTCAAAATTTTGACCCTTTGTGGGAGAGGTACCAGAAGAAGTGGACCGATATATTCAATTTTCAAACCAGGCCTTAGGTTAATAAAAATATTGTGATGTGTGAAGACAATCGGACACTTACATCACATTTTGTAAAAGTTATAATTATTCAAAATTTTGACCTATGTGGGTTGGGGACTTGATGGAGTAGATCAATATTGTACACCCCATGCAAATATTAGGATTTGCACAGTTTGAGAAATATCGGATTATACATCCTCTCTATGTGCAGAAAATTATTTTCTTTCGAAATTTTGACATTTTGTGGGGGGGAGGTACCAGGGGTGAACCTATATAGCCCATCTCCGAGGTCGATCTAAGTTTTACAATATATGTATCAAGTTTCAAGTATGAATCAAATCGGGTACTCCCTTCGAGAGTTATCGTGCGCCCCAGCCAGGCAAACTGACAGATGGAGGAACGGACATCTCCAGGTCGACTCTAAATATCCTGAAACGGATTTAATTCAAAGACGGCCTAATACCATTATTTCGATGAAGCATCTTTTGGCCGCATCAAATGATATACAGGTTGAGATAAAAAAACTGCAACTAATTTCAGACTGCTACCATTTCTAAGCCACTCGTCCGGCAGCTGTTAAAATTATTCCACCGGCAGCTCATTATATTGTTTACAAGCATACAAAAGCATTTTGTGGAGAATTTTCCAGAAAAAAAGTTATTCGTGATGAAATTCAAGCGTGATAGTGTGATTTCTTTATATTTGGCTTGAAAACCACAATTGGCTATCGTTAGAGCACTCCAGCATTTAAATGTACCATCGCACGTTACCGTGATACTGGTAGCGTAGCCTGACGTCAAGGTAGTGGACGGAAGAAAACAACAACATCAGCAGAAATGGATCGAAAAGTAAAGAAGCGACTTGATCGAAACCCGCGTTGCAGTGGCCGAAACATTGCTCGTGAGCTGAACATATCGCAATATTTCATTAGGCAAATATTGAAAAATGAGCTCGGGGTAAAGCCATTGAAATTCCAAAAAGTGCAAGGACTTAAACCGCAACGGAAAGAAAATAGTCTAAAAAGAGTTAAAAAGTAGTTTTGCTTGGTCGAATGTGGTGAACTGCCGAATTTTGTTTTTTCCGATGAGAAAACATTGGCAGTTTGTAAACAAACAAAATGATCGTGTTTACTTGCCAAAGAGGTCAGCTGAAAATGTGCACCTTCGGTTGGGCACCAGAACTCAAGCGCCGGCCATGATGATGGTGTGGGCCGCCATAACAGCCGATGGTCGGTCTCCGCTCGTATTAATCGACCTTAGCATCAGAAAAAATGCCAAATATTATCGCGAAAATATTCTGGAGGGTGTATTTTAGCCTTGGGCACGCAAAAATGTTGGCCGCAGACCTTGGACATTACAACAGGACCCAGCACCATTGCACTCAGCACGCGCCTCCCAAGAATGGTTACAAAATGAGGTTCCTCGCTTCATTTCCAGAGCACAATGGTCACCAAAATCTCCGGATACCAATCCTTTGGACTATTGTGTCTGGAGTATTTTGGATGACGGATTCATTGGCAGTTTGGAGGCCATAATTCGTCCGAAAGGTGACCAATTCTAATAAATCTAAACTTATCCTAAAATTTGATGCTATTTCCGACATTGTTTGCTTTTATTCAAAAAAATGTAAATATTATGGCGTTTGACTTGTTGCAGTTTTTTTTATCTCACCCTGTATACCCCCTCTAGCCATATGGCTGAGGGTATAATAAATTTCTGTGACGAACTCTGGCCTCGAGAGCTAACCTCTGCTAACGGAGGGACTTGAGTCGTTACAGACTATATAAGTAATTCTCAATATACTTCGTAGTTTCTATAAAAAATAAAATAATCCATGTACCGATAAGATCTTCCAGATTGAAACACATATTTATACCCATCCTCATTCACTGACCGATTGTACCGATAAGATCTTCCAGATTCCAAGTACCCATCATCATTCACTGACCGACAACTGTTAGCACCCCCCCCCCCCTTCCATACTAATCTATATGTAAAACAGTTAACATTTATTGTCGCTTTTAACAGCGTTTATTGAGGGCATTGGTGGTAGGGTGGGGTTGCACGACGGATCTTTGCAAAAATGAGTGCAAATGTTTTATTTTGTGGTTTCAAGCGAATTCTATTCGAAATGAGCATTGAATGCATCCACAGAGAGTGTTGCAGGAATGATGTTAACCTAGGGGGCTCTAAAGAATCAATTGTTTTGGTGGTGTTCAGACAATGAAATAGATGCAAGAGTGTAGAGGGTATAGCCGTCCACCTGTGTTGGAAGTTATTTATCAAAGTTAAAATTTTGACGACGCAATTCATTTGGATTTTTGGTCAACAACATAAAACGAAATGGCCCGGCAATTACAACATTGTAAAGGGGATCTGCTAGCATTGCACGTAATTACTAGTTTGCTTGTGACGTAAATCGACAACAGAGTTACGTTGTTAATCGGTTTGTAAATAAGAGATTTTGCACAAATTAACGTCTGATGTTCGATTGCACTCTAGAAAAGGGCTTATTTGTATTGGATTAGAATTTATTTGTTTAAGTTATGGGGATAGGATAAAGATAGAGGACAGTAATTCAATAAAATCCCTATTAAGAATTTAGTAAAATAAAAGAAGAACAAGTAAAAAACAGTTAAGTTCGGCCGGGCCTCCACACCACTTGGAGGAAACTTTAAAATTTTCAACAAAAAAAAATTCCGTCGGAAAATACCGCTCAAATGAAAACCGTTATATGGGAGCTATACGAAGACGTGGTCCTGCATAAGTAATTTGTGTCATAGGCTGTAGTAACTACTCCGAACTTTATATAAGAAATTTGAAACAATTCCTGTGAATAATGTCGCAAAAATTATGAAAATACCGAATATCTGGGGGTACCGTTACATGGGTAATGTACTCATAAAGAAATCCTTGTGTAGAATCTCAGACAATTCCATTGAAAAATGTGGCTATAATCATCAAATTACCGAATATGGAGGGGTACCGTTATATGGGGTATCGTGGACCGATATGGCACATCTTCGAACTTGACCTGCCTGCACACAAATGACAGATTTGTGCAAAATTTTAGCTTCCTATCTGAATTCGTGTTGACTGTAGCATGCTTACAGCAGGCGGACGGACACACTACGATGAATATATATACCTTGTTTGTTGGATCTAATATTATTATTTCGGAATGCAAACTTAATATACCCTCCATACTATGTATGGTGGAGGGTACAAATAAGCTACCGATGCATCTAGAAAAAGTCAAGGTTTGGTGCGGAGATTAAGTCGATGGCGGGACGGTTCTTCTTTAAACAAGTAAAAAAAACATTAAGTTCGGCCGGGCCAAACTTTTAATACCCTCCACCTTAGGGTAAAAGAAACAGTAGAAGAAATGTGGCAAAAACCATTAAAATGCCGAATATCGGAAGGTACCGTTATATGGGGGCTACACCAAAACGTGGACCTATAATTACAATGTTTCGCCACACGAACTAGGACCCATTATGACCCACAAATACCAATTTTTAGACAAATCAGTGAAAAAATGTGGCAAAAACTATCAAAATGCCGAATATCGGGAGGTACCGTTATATGGGGGCTATACAACAAATACCAATTTTCAGACAAATCCGTGAAAAAATGTTGCAAAAATCATAAAATTACCGAATATCGGGAGGTACCGTTATATGGGGACTATACCACAACGTGGACCCATACATGCAATGTTTCGCCACCGGAGCTGGTTACCATTATGACCCACAAATACCAATTTTTAGACAAATCCGTGAAAAAATGTGGCATAAAAACTAAAATACCGAATATCGGGAGGTACCTTTATATGGGGGCTATACCACAACGTGGACCTATACATGCAATGTTTTGCCACAGGCTCAGGGACCCGTTATGACCTACAAATACCAGTTTTCAGACAAATCCGTGAAAAAATGTGGCATAAATCATCAAAATACCGAATATCGAATACCGAATACCAACCATCTTAGACACAATGTAAACAGCTCTGCAAAATTTTGGCGCTCTACGTCAAATAATGTGGGCTGTATCGTGATTTCAACAGACAGACGGATAGACAGACAGACGGATAATGTTAAAT